ACCGATGACTAAGTTGGGCAGTACTTGCTGATAACCAATTAATTAACTTATATTTAAAAACAAATATTCTGAATCAAAATATAACACTCAAAGTAAAATAGTGCTGAAATGTATTACAAAAATTAACAGTATTATTGACTGCTGCATGAAAATATATTGAACTTTAAAATGCAATGTATGCATTTTAATTTATATTAATTAAAACATTAATTTACAGGTCAAGTGTCTCTGTGTGTGTTTAGCTATAGCCTAGAGAAACATGTTGTGTAAATTTCACAAGTAATAACAATAAGCTATCATTTGTTAACATTAGTTAATGCATTTTATTTCATGAATTATATGAAATATTATTTACAGGGTTTATTAGAATTTGTTAAAAAAAAAGTTCATTGCTTTTATTACACGAACCGTTCGGTTCAAAAATGCGTACCGCAAAACCGAACCGAAAGCCTCGTACCGAACGGTTCAATACAAATACGTGCAACGTTACACCCCTAATCCGACATTAACTCATTAAATGTTTTTTTGTAATCTCCGGTCACTTTTCCTTTTATGATGTATTTTTTTACTTTTCTGGCAACAAGAATTTGCAATGCAGCCTTTTCAACTTGCCGAGCCGTGGCGTGCCTCTCACTCTGCTCTGCTCCTCCGCTTCTGCTTCTTTCAGTCATGTCATGCTAGCTCTGAATGAAAACGCATTGTGGAAATGCGTTGGCCTAGTACTTTATTTCCCTCTCTGCTATTATAGTTTTTCAAGAGGGCGGAACTACATGGAAGCCTCCATAGACTTACCTATAACATGTATATAAAGATAATAAATTCTTCGTTTAATAGGATAAGTCAGATAATTGGCAGATGTATTTGTACACCATTGAGGACATATTTATGAATAAAAATATTGATTTTAAGTAATAAATTACATAAGTTACACATAGTCCCATAGTGCTGGAAAAAAAGATGCAACATTCTTAAAAGCTTTTTAACTATTCCTGCCAAACTTCCATGGTTACAGTTAGTGTTTCTATATTGAAAATGGTCCAACGAATCGTTCGGTTTGTTATGCGTACCGAACTAAAAGCCTTTTACTGAACGGTTCAAAACGAATACGTGTATTGTTACATCCCTACTGATAACGTAATCCGAAATGTGCATGTGGGCACATCCACTTCTGCAGAAATGCATCTTAGCTGGCTGAAGGCCAATTTATACTTCTGCGTAGGGTGCGCGCAGTAGGTATGGCGTAGCATACGCACAGACGCGTCCCATTGCGCGTACCCTTCGCCGTCGCCTGACGCGCACCTCCTCAAAAATGTAACTACACGTCGCGATGACGCGGACCGCAAGATCGGTGATTGGTCGGCTTGGTAGCATCGCATTTCCTCCTACGCATTTCCGCACGTACCTTCTCACGCATTTCCATCACTGTCTATGATTTCCACACGTACCATCTCCTCCGACGTCTTCTCTCATTTCTGCCTTTCAGTTTTAGTAATTTCACTAAAGTGAACTGTTTTTCCACCTCAATAAGCTCCAACTCCAACATGATCCACTCTCTTTCAATCGCTATTGCTTGTAGTACCCTAGCCGCGAGGAATCTAAACACAGTGGAACAAACTCTCCGCCGCCAACTAGCGTTTCAGAGCAGTACTGCAGAGCAACAAGACCTGAACGCAAAAGTATAAATGCTCATAACGGCGTCGCCTACGTGCGTAGCCAACGCCCGCACATTACGGCGTACCCTCGACGCAGAAGTATAAATTGGCATTGAGAATTAATAAATTATAGAATGAATAAACAACCCAAACTGGATATAAACTAATGAATATAGACGGTAACAATCGCAACCTCTACTTCAGTATTCTTGGAGAAAATGTGTTTCACCATAGCATTATGGTGGGAGCCGAGGCGCTTAATGTGCGCGCATTTCAGGTGTGTGCGCGATAGACTGTTAAAAAAGGTGGACAACGCCCCCTTCATTCTCTTCTTTTGGTGAAAACTGAAGCCGACAAAGTCTTAATATGGTGCTAACATCTTGCGCAGATTTGGGACCCGAGTCTGCGCAGTAGTGAGCGTGGGAGTCGGGACTCAACCCAAGTCTGTGCAGTAGTGAGCAGGAAGCAAAGCCGCGATATCAAGGTCCCGTCCTAACTCTTGCAGAAACTGTTAGTACAGACATTTAGGAAAAAAATCGCTAAAGTTTTGCGCAAATCTGTAATGGAAACACACCTAATGTCACATGAGCAGCATAACTGCGATAGAGATGATAGTCTAAATAGTGGATATCGCCCGTCATTCCAGGAAATCCCTATCGCTGTAGCTGAATAAACAGGAGATTGAACATGACCAATAAACACACAACTGCCTTATTCTGTGTAAGAAGCCACATCATCACAGAAGGATGCTCAGCTATCCTTATGAAGTGAGTTTGGAGTAAAAGCATGTTATTAAATGTTGTCTTTTGTTGGACAAGAGGTTATTAAATGCTTCTCATTTTTGGAAAGCTGTTTGACACATGTTGCTTTTTCAAATGCACGTTATAAGTGATTCAAACTCGCAGTGCTTTCAGGTGGAGCACCGTTTACAGAGCCGTACATCAATGACGCATAAAAAATAATCGCAGCCTTTGCCATGTCGATTTAAGTGTGATTAATAGTGCAGCCTCTATCGGTTAATCGTGTCTACTGGTATATCGCCTACTCCTATACATCTTGCATGGCATGAGGATGAATAAATGATGAGACAATTTTTGTGTTATGTTGGAGTCCCATAAACTTAAACTTTTCATTCAAGTACATATTGAACATTATAAGAAAAATTTAAATATTGAATACTGAAAATCTAACATTTTTGTTTCTTAAAGAATTTGTTTATCTTTTTTTCCAAATCAAATTTGAACAGCGGATGGAATTCCCAGGTCTTGTCATGAAGTTTTTACCCGTGGAACGAAAGTTTTTGATGGTAGAAACTATAAGGGAAGGTAAATGAAAGTATAATTTAAGTCATTTATTTGGTTTGAGAAAACTGATCTGCTATGCTTTTTCATTTAGTTTTGTAACAAACCTCCATGCTTTTCTTTCCTTTTCTTAAAAGGTTTTCAAAAGAAGAAATCAAAGCATTGCTCAAGTATCATACATTACATGGCAGTAACTGGCGAAAGATTTCTGAGCTGACTGGTCGAAGTTCTTTTTCTCTTGAGAAACGTTTTTCCCAAATTAGTTCTGGTAAGTCTATTTCAGCAAGCCTCTTTTAAAAATGTCCAAATATGTACATTTCAATTTTAGTGACTATTGGTCATTTTGTATATCATCTTATCACACAGCTAAAAAAAGTGGACCGTGGTCTGTGAAGGAGGAGCAGAGACTTTTGAGGGCTGTACGAGACCATATTGTAACTGAGTTGAAATCTGAGTCGCCAAATAACACAACACCAAAACGAGTCAGTAGAGAAATGCTCTACCAAAAATTACCTTGGTTCAATATTGCACTGAAGGTTAAAACTCGATGTTGGAGCAAATGCAGAGAGAAATGGTGAGTCATTTAAAACACTTTTATATTAAATGGAGGTACATTTTAAGTGATAAGTTAATCCCCATTTGATTATAATCAACATTGTTGAATTTACACCTTCACCCCTAAGGTTGAACATGCTCGCTGTACGGATGTCCTCAGGGACTTTATGTAGGGGAAGGAAAGCTCAGGAGGCCAAAATCAGACTCATTAAAGCGTAAGAGATCTTGATTTTGCATGCTTGCTTAGCTTTTGTTATTCTGTTTTTCTTTACCTTGCTTTAAGAAATCATCTATTTACACAGAATGTATCAAATGCAAGTGGAGGATGTTACTGATGTCGACTGGGATGATCTCACGGCTGTATTTGGGTGAGGATTATTTGCAGTTGGGGTGGGTGGAATGGCAAAAACATATAGCAAATATTTTTTCAGGCAGGATCATAATCTTATCACAGTTATTTTTCCATATTGGTTCGCAAGACTAATTAAAGGGATACTCCACTTTTTTTAGAAAATGGGCTCATTTTACAACTCCCCCAGAGTTAAACTGCTGAGTTTTACCTTTTTTTGAATCCATTCAGCCGATCTCCGGTTCTGGCTGTAGCACTTTTAGCATAGCTTAGCATACATCATTGAAGTGCACTAGACCATTAGCATTTCTCAGAAAAAAATTACCAAAGTGTTTCGATATTTTTCCTATTTAAAACTTGACTCTTCTGTTGTGACATCGTGCATTAAAACTGACGGAAAATGTAAAGTTGCGTTTTTCTAGGCTGATATGACTAGGAACCATACTCTCATTCCTGCGTAATAATCAGGAAACTTCACTGTCGTACCATGAGTGCAGCAGGCGTAATGTTATGACGCAGCGCCTGCAAATAGCCCCCAGCTTCTAACGTGACCGGGACTAAGTTTGTGTATTCATTGCGCCTGCTGCACTCATGGTACGGCAGTGAAGTTTCCTGATTATTACGCAGGAATGAGAGTAGAGTTCCTAGTCATATCAGCCTAGAAAATCGCAATTTTATATTTTCCGTCTGTCTTACCGCACAATGTAACTACAGAAGAGTTCAGTTTTAAAGGGTTAGTTCACCCAAAAATGAAAATTAAGTCATTAATTACTCACCCCCATGCTGTACCAACCCCGTAAGACCTTCGTTCGTCTTCGGAACACAAATGAAGATATTTTTGATTAAATTTGAGAGCTGTATAACTACCACATTGGCTCATAAAGGACTGCCTCTTGACGGCCCAGAAAGTCAATGAAGAAAATGTTTAAATATCCCAAGTGACTACCGTGGCTCAACTATATGTTTATCAAGCGACGCGAATACTTTTTGTGCGAAAAAACAAACAAAAATAACGAGTTTATTCGACTATTTCTTTTCTTCCTTGTAGGCCAGAAACGAGACTTCCTTAGATTTCCACGACGCATGCGCGAGAATTGCGATCTGAAGTAGTGCAGAGCGACTCTGAAGTAGTGTAAGCAGATCGCAAATCTCGCGCATGCGTCGTGGAAATCTAAGTTAGTCTCGTTTCTGGCCTACAAGGAAGAAAAGAAATAGTCGAATAAACTCGTTTGTTTTTTCGCACACAAAGTATTCGCGTCGCTTGATAAACATATAGTTGAGCCACGGTAGTCACTTGGGATATTTAAACATTTTCTTCATTGACTTTCTGGGCCGTCAAGAGGCAGTCCCTTAGGAGCCAATGTGGTAGTTATACAGCTCTCAAATTTAATCAAAAATATCTTCATTTGTGTTCCGAAGACGAACAAAGGTCTTACGGGGTTGGTACAGCATGGGGGTGAGTAATTAATGACTTAATTTTCATTTTTGGGTGAACTAACCCTTTAAATAGGAAAAATATCGAAACATTTTGGTACTTTTTTTGGGAGAAATGCTAATGGTCTAGTGCACTTCAATGATGTATGCTAAGCTATGCTAAAAGTGCTAATGCCAGAACCGGAGATCGACTGAATGGATTCAAAAAAGGTAAAACTCAACAGTTTAACTCTGGGGGAGTTGTAAAATGAGCATATTTCCAAAAAAAAAGTGGAGTATCCCTTTAAGTTACTTAGCAGTACTGCCTAATTTCCCTTCTATTTAAATAATAGAACCCTACAAGGTATCAAAAAATAAATGTGTTTGTGGGGTGGGGGGGGGGGGGGGGTTAAATTTTCTAAATTATCTTAGAAAAAAAGGTCTATTGGTAAATTCTGTTGTCTTTAACAATCCTTGTTGCATTAAATACAAAAATGACAGTTCAAAAATGGGGAGAAGCACTTCATGTTTGTTTGTACTTTTTAAGAAGTACCAGATTAAAGCTATCTCAATATCCTTTTAGATAGAACTGCAACTTAATATTATGCTACAGTCCACATTCTATCAATCTCTCTGTAAAGGCAGATCGAGGAGACATTTTAATCGTTCACTATCTATTGTCATGTTGCACACTGTGACCCCAATGTGACTAAATGAATAACATCTCGTAAAAACATGTACCATTTTGGTAGTTTAAACACCCTATTAATCTACTATATACAGTTGTGTTCAAAATAATAGCAGTCCAACATCACTAACCAGATCAATCACTGTTTTTGGTAGAAATTATATTTCTACATAGCAAATGATTTACTAGTAGGTGTAGTAGAGTAATAGAAAAACAACAGACCCAACAGTCATGACATGTATGTTGCTAGTTCTGTATAATTGAATCATTAATTGAAAGGGGTGTGTTCAAAATAATAGCACTGTGGAGTTCAATTAGTGAGGTTAATAATTCTGTGAAAAAACTAGTGTCAATTAGTGGCCCTTATTTAAGGACGAATGCAGTACTGGACTGTACATGGTGGTTATAGTGCATTTCTCTCTGAAGATCTGAATAAAATGGGCCGTTCCAAACATTGTTCAGAAGAACAGCCTACTTTGATTAAAAAGTTGATTGGAGAGGGGAAAACTTATAAAGAAGTGCAGAAAATGATAGGCTGCTCAGCTAAAATGGTATCAAATGCTTTAAAATGGCAACCAAAACCAGAAAGACGTGGAAGGAAACAGAAAACTACTGTTCGAATGGATCGAAGAATAGCCAAGATGGCAAAGACTCAGCCAATGATCAGCTCCAGAGTGATCAAAGAAGATCTCAAGTTACCCGTGAGTACAGCAACAATTAGAAGACGCCTATGTGAAGCCAAGCTATCAGCAAGAAGCCCCCGCTAAGTCCCATTTTTAAAAAAACGACATGTGCTGAAGAGAATACAATTTGCTAAAGAACACATTAACTGGCCTAAAGAGAAATGGCGCAATATTTTGTGGACTGATGAAAGTAAGATTGTTCTTTTTTGGGTCTAGGGGCCATAGACAGTTTGTCAGACGACCCCCAAACACTGAATTCAAGCCACAGTACACTGTGAAGACTGTGAAGCATCATGATATGGGGATGTTTCTCGTACCATGGTGTTGGGCCTATTTATCGTATCCCACGGATTATGGATCAGTTTGAGTACATCAAAATACTTAAAGAGGTCATGTTGTCTTATGCTGAAGAGGAAATGCCCTTGAAATGGGTGTTTCAACAAGACAACGACCCAAAACACACGAGTAAGCGTGCAGCATCTTGGTTCCAGACCAACAAGATTAACGTTATGGAGTGGCCAGCTCAATCCCCGGACCTTAATCCTATAGAAAACCTTTGGGCTGACATCAAAAATGCAGTTTTTGAGGCAAAACCAAAAAATGCAGAGGAACTGTGGTCTGTAGTGCGATCGTCCTGGGCTGGAATACCTGTTCACAGGTGCCAGAAGTTGGTCGACTCCATGCAACACAGATGTGAAGCAGTTCTCAGAAACCATGGTTATACAACTAAATATTAGTTCAGTGATTCACAAGAAAGCTAAATCTTCAAGTATTTTTCAGTTTATACAGTAAATGTTTGACTTTGTAAGGAAAAATGCAGACACTGCTATTATTTTGAACAGCCTAATTTACCTTTTTCTACACTTTCTATAAAGTAAAAACAAATTTCATAAATTTTTCTTTATGTTTTGATCTTGAATAGAATGTGCAGTGTTCCCAATGCAATTTTGTGTATTGAAATAAAAGTTGTTTTTAGGATTTTGAGCTTTACTCATTTTTTTGAACACACTGCTATTATTTTGAACATAACTGTATATATAAATATAAAATTTGCCCCCAAATAGCATTTTGACACTGCATTTCATTTTATCATTTGAAGGAAAAATGTCAATGAGGCAAATTATCTGGAAATGCACGAAGCACATAATTACCTGTAGAGGCAAGTGCTGTTCTCTTTGATTGGTTGTTTGTTTTTTAAATTTTAGTTTTAAAATTTTTCAATTAAGGCTACGTTCAGACTGTCAGTCCAAATCCATTATATCCGATTAGCCTGGCTAATGTCGGACCCATAGACAGTAAAAGAAAGGTTGGACCACTTCTCATTGAGACTGAGACGTGGTCTCTGGGGACCACATGTTCATTTTCTTGTATTTGAGGCGTGGTTTACAAATGTCCAGAGCCGTTCATTGTGTGCTACGAATGTCTATCAAATGCGACTGTACGTAGCTCATAGCCAATCGTTTCAGTTATACCAGATGACGGTATGTCGAACGACAGAAATTAGACGAGGAAGAAGACGATGGATCAGAGATTTGTGTATACGATGGCGTATGTATTTAAGGCTGCATCGAATGGTAACTTCACGTCTGCTGCCATGTTTGATCCATATGTATAAACAAACTGCTTCGGTGTGTCGCATAGACGTCGTCATCAGCTTGCTGCTCCTTCCCCATTCTGTGATTGGTCCCCTCTCTGAGGCGAAAATCTGGTTCATGGTATCCAGGCTGCCTATAGACCATTTCACAAGATGTAAACAACACTGGTCCAGAAGCACTTCCTGTTTCAGTTTTTAACACTACATAAAAGCTGGGATAAAATACAACCAACAGAACATTTAAAACTCAATCAAAAAGTTAAACAAACATCTTTAAGATGTTTTCTTTACATGTGAAATAAAGAAAACAGTTACAAACTGAAACAGGAAGTGCTTCTGGACCAGTGTTGTTTACATCTTGTGAAATGGTCTATAGCAGCATGAATAAAGCAGCATGGGAAAACCCAGGCTTATATCCGATTGAAATCTGATCAGATTTAGTAAGTGTGAATGGCAAAAAAATCACATGAAACGTGATTTTTGCAAATCCATTTTGAGCTACATTCCTATGTGGTGTGAAATTCTATTTAAATCCCATTTCTGGAAATCCGTTTCAGTCTGACTGCTCTGATCGGATTTCGTGTGGTTTATGCGACTTTCTCACGCCACATAAAACAAACGCCAGATGTTGTTATTGGAAACATGTTGAAAGTCGCTGCAGAAAAAATGTTGTGTTGCCAGATGAGCAGAAAATAATGAAGACATGTTTTGAAACCAGTGGAGATGACAGCTAGGAATAAAGTCATTCATCAGCCACGTTTCTGCTGCTGCTGCCTCAAAAGACGCACAGTGGCTACACGTTGTCATGTTGTAAATAAGCAAAGCATCTATATGGCAAAGCCCTCTGTGTTGCGGAAGTGTTTTTGGTGCATACCGACCAACACAATATAATTTCCATAGAAACCAATGCAGAAGACTTTGACACCCCAATCCATGTAAAAATGGTCACACCAGGTTGGCTATAATAAAATGGCACATTAAATGTGTAGAAGTTGCTACCTCACTACCTTCAACTAAGTCTACTACCATTTTGGCTGTTTTGACATGACGTCATGACAGTGCAAGACTTGAACTGTTTTTCTAGTTGGAAATTCATAATTATGACAATTCTGACATATGAATACAGCCTAATACCACCACCTGTAAATAACAGATGCAGTGAATACAAAGGACAGCTTTGTTAAATTACCGTTAGTGATAACTTAATTGAACAAACCTAGAAGAAGATCGTAACTATGGATTTACCAGTGTAATATTTATGTATATTTTTTATTTATGAAAAAGTATGAATCAATGTGAGGTCTTATATTTGAAATTTTTCATTTATTTATTTTAGAATTTATATTTGTAGTGTGGTATAACTATGATATGAGGACCAATTAAATTAAACCCCAGATTAATTGAAACAATGGTGTTTGAACATTGAAAGCATTTCAATCAAACAGAGATAAGTAAGGTGAGATTGCTTGATCCACAATAAAGAGAATATCCCTAAGGAGTTAATTAAGTTGGGGTAAATAGTATCTGAGCGCAATTACACGGGTTATATTATTCAGGTTCCCAACAAGTAAATGGAATAATGCAACTGCTTGTTCAAGCATAATGATTGTAACCAAGCTTGATGTCACATCTTTGTCTCATAGGGATGTTCCTCCAGCACATGTGCAAGCAAAGTGGCACCAGCTTAAAGTTTGCTATGTGCCGAATTGGAAGGCCAAGTGTTTTGGAGGCAAGTGCTTTAATTTATTCCACATTATTGTTGAATTTAGGTTTTTGCTGTATAGATCTTCTGTTTTCCACAGGGTACTCCAAAGATGGCTTTCTAAAAATAGTTTTTGAGACTTAACATATTCTTGTACACAATTTACTGTACTGTTTTTAAAGACTCAAATCTAGGCCAGCCAGAGACTTCAGAACATGTAAAAACAATAATAATATATATTTTTTTTTTTCTTTTTTTTCTAAAAACCTATGTTTTTGGCTCATTTAATGACTGGTGTTTGAATTTCCTACTGCATGTCTTTTAATGTATTGCATGTCTGATGTTTTCTCCAGACATTGTTGACTTCCTCTATGAAAAAATCTTGCCAGGCCTGGAGAAGGATTGTGAAGACCTCGATGACGATGAGCTGAAGGTTGAACAGAAGCAGAGCTTTCTTATATCTGACATTTTTCAGGACATTAATGAGTATGATTGCTGTGACAGTGATGAAGAGAGTGTCCAGAAAGAGGACACTTGAACTCTGATCACTTGTACTGTATAAATCTTAAAATTAGACCTTAAAAATTATTTCTTTAAACCATTACACTAAATATTCCACCACTGTAAAGAAAAAGCATGTTTAAGATGTTTGATAGTTCCTTTTATTCTTCTGTTCATACATTTGATTAAGCATTGAATAAACAGAATTTGTATTATGCCTTTAAAGATCTTCTGGACATGGACATTTTTAGAAGTGTAGACCATAAAGAGGTAAAACAATGACAAGTAAGGTAAACAATGTTCTGTCTATCTCAGTTGAGAAATGTTAGGTAGTATGAATTGTTTGTAGGTAGCTTTAAGCATTTGCATTTTACGTTAGATTAAAAGAACACTTTTGCCCCGACAAGCCTTTCGATTACATTTTCAAACCAGTCATGGCCCGTTGCAGTGGGTCAGAACTCCAGAAATCGTGGTTCCAACCCAGAAACCAGCCTGTGAATGTGGGAGGTTCAAAGCCCTGCTTCACTGTAACAATGGGAGTTCTCTTGTCCCTATTGGCAGGGTCTGATTCAATATATTTGACCGCTAAAATAAAAAAAGACCAGGATGAAGATAAATCATTAAGTAATGAAAGCAGCAATGTTGCAAAAAAAATTGGGTTTTCTCACCTGAAGTCAAAGTTTCACTTTTTTCATCTTCATTAGCTTCTTTTCCAATCCAAACAAAGACCTATGCGACAATGATTAAGCATGAAAGGCATTAGATTTCATATTCTTTATACACTGTAAACCCTAATGTTGTCTTTACTTAAACAATCAAGTGTACTTGACTAAACATTACTTAAAATTTTGCATTTTGGCCCTGTCACTCAAAAATATAAGTTCAAATAACTTATTTACCTTCAAAATACGAAAACTTAAGATTTCAAGTGCTGTGAACTCAAAATAATGATTAAACCTTACAAAAGGTAATCTTCAAAAATGTCTTAACTGTGAAATGATGATACATTCATTCATGCTTTCTTCAAGTGCAAGGTGTCATTCTTATTTTACCAGAAAACAAATGGCTTTCATTTTACAATTATTGATTGTAATGGAAATAAACTGATGTTTATTTAAAAAAAAACCTGATACTTTAAACTTGACAAATAAACTTTATTACCCATATTCAAGTGCTTTTGTAATACTGGGGGTTGCACAATTTTCATACATTTCACGTGCACATATATGCCACGTGCCAAAATGCATGAAAGAGTTCCTCACATCAGCCACCAACCAAGTCTCAATAAAAAAAATACAAAATAACAGAAATACAGCGATGACACATTATGTTGAACGTTAAATCAAATTCATTTCAAAGGTTTAAAACGTCTCTCTCTGATCTTCCTCTGATGCGATTTGCCATGCAAGCAGTTCTGCATGGCAACAAGAGAACTAATGCGCTGATTGGTGGATTACAAAATTGGTGATTTTCGCATCGTCTCGTCAGTTGCTGACACCAGTTCAAATGTGAAGACGGGACGGGAGTTTTTCTTTGAGTAACATTCTCGGTAAGTACAATTATTAAGATATAAAGTTATTTTGTATGACTTTTTAACTCAGAAATATGTTTATTTAAATCCTTGCACGGTTAATAAAAGAGAACGCAGCCATAACGTTAATTAGTTCCTGGTCAAACTTTTCCAACACGTTTTAAGTGATGATATGATAGCTGCGATATCAAACGATTCATTAATTTATTAGTTTAATTGTGTAATCGTGTATTTCTCGGCAAAAGAACATAGTTAACTAACGTTAACGTTATTTGAGACCAGTCAACTTAGTGACGTTTTTTCTGGTCAATCTTTTGACAACCTCGACATTAATTAACAGTGTTTTCTTCATGACTTAGTTTGTGATAGTATGATTATTGAAATGTCAACTGCTTATTTTCTTATTTTACTAGTGAGAGCTACATATTCGATTATCTTTTTTTCTGTGCAAGAAAGAACATGGCAGCTATGCACAGACCATGTGGGTTATTTTTCCCGGGCAAAGGTCAGTTTTACCAGTAACTTGCAAATATTTTCATGATACATTTCTGATTTTGACTTGTAAAACGTAGTATTTCGTAAAGTATCTATCTTAAGTTATAAGAACATTTGTTACTAGCTACGAGTCTAGGACGAATGATGTTTCGTAGATTGTAAAATTAACGTCACGCTTGTCACCAATAATTACAGCGATTTAGTCATATGGAAAATACTATAGAAGTCAATGCGAACTAGCAACTTTTGGTTACAAACATTAAAAATATTACTTTTTGTTTTCAGCAGAACAAAGAAAACCATGCACACAACTGTTTGAGCATGAGTGGTCTATTCCTTTAACGTGTTAAAAATATTTCTTAGCCTCTACATTTGTTTCCTAATTATTTAATTAAAGCATTTCAATGTGCACGCTAATGTGATTATGTGATCTGCTCTTATCTCCCCAGTTCAACAGAATTGCTGGCAAAAACCTAAAGCAGGATTTCTACGAGAACCTTGATAGATATAGTCCACGGTTCATGGACCTTTTTTAAGCCAAAGGGGGGACTCCAGGTCAGTAACGTTACTTGGCTAACTTTTTGAATCAAATAAAGGTTAGTAATGGTTAATAAAAAAAAAAGGTTTTGTCTTATTTAAGATAACTTAAAGGATAACTTTTACTCACCCTCAAGTTGTTCCAAACCTGTATACATTTCTTTGTTAACGCTGAACACAAAGGAAGATATTTTGAAGAATGTTTGTAATTGAACAATTTTGGGTACAATTGGTGTTCTTAGTATTGTTATTTTTATTTTTTTTAGCATGTATAACTCAATGTTGGCCCAAAACTGCTTGGTTACAAACATTCTTCAAAATGTATTCTTCCTTTGTATTCAACTGAGCAAAGAAATGTACAGGTTTGGAATAACTTGAGGGTGGCTAAATGATGACAGAAATTTCATTTTGGGGGAACTATATCTTTTAAGAGCATTCATTTAATCGTATATTCTTATAAAAGTTCTTCAAATATATTGATTAGTTGTTGGCATTAATGGAATTTTGTGTTTTCCTCAGCCCAACCAACGGAGGTCCTAACCCTTGTGATTCAAGGACTACCTATCATGCTTGGAGATGATGGTGACTTCATTTCTTCAAGTCATGTTTAGTAAGTGCATCTGTTCTTCACGTGTTAACATAAAAACAACCACCTGTGCTCCCATTAGTCTAAGCATTTGTCAAGCATTTGAAAATCATGTTGATTTTAAAGCAATAGTTTCCCAAAAAAATTAATTTGCAGGAAATGTTCTCACCTTCAGATTATTCAAGATGAAGAAGAGTTTGTTTCTTCATCTGAAAAGATTTGGAGAACTTCAGCATTACATCACCAGCTCACAAATTGATCCTCTTTAGCAAACAGATGCTCAAACTTGTTCAAACAGCTGATAAAAACATCACAATAATCCACAATTAATCCACACGTTTGCTCTTTGGACTCTTACTTACAACACCCATTCGCTACAGAGGATCAATTTTGGAGCAAGTGATGTGATGCTACAGTTCTCCAAATCTTTTCAGATGAAAAAACAAAACAACAACTCTATATATTTAATGGCCCGAGAGTGAGTGCATTATCATGTTTGGGTGAACTATTCATTTAAAATACAAATGTAGCCAGTTCTTCAAATTAATAAATGTAATTTATACTGCATACTTTAAAAAAAAGTAATATCTTTGCTGGAAACATGTACATTTTCATAAAGTCAAATGCATACTTGTCCATATAATTTGGGATTAAGGTTAGTGCTATGTGTGTTTTTAATAAATCTAGTGCACGTTCTGATAAACATCAATTTATACACATTTGATTCCTGATCGTAATACTCTATTTATGTCTGTTTTTACACTAGGTGTCTGATCATCGCAACTCCATCCTTAATGTGCCAGTGGGCATCTTATTTGAGGACACTGACTTTCAGCCCCCCAATTCCTTGTATTTAACTTCTACGATTGGAATAATAAAATGCAGGACCTCCCACAGGCTATGTGTCTCCTCTTCGGTCTGATCTACGAACTTGAACTGAATTACCCCAAATCATTTGGCAACACGTTTGATTTCATCCAGCGTGTGTTAATGTCAATGGGACAATATTCTCTCAAGCCTAAATTGCAGTCTCTGGCAAACCAGCTTTTTGTAAAAAAAAAAAAAAAAAAAAAAAAAAAACTTCACTTTGAGACTTTAACACCACCCTGAGAATGTTCTACAAATGATTTGCAGGATATATATACCATGTATTGGTACCATTTTTACTACCTCTTCAGTTTTGTGACCCAGAAAATATTTGTTTAAAAAAAAAAATGCCACTTTGAGACTTTAATATTTCTGACAATGTTTTGTTTTGTGAGGGAAAATGTGGTTTAAATTGTGAAATGCTCTATAATTAATGTGCATTAGTCAATTTAGTATATTGTTACCATTGTTGGTAACAATACCTCTACAGTGTGTTCAATTACAGTATAGTTTGTACTGTAATATTGTGCAAATATTTGGTCAAAGACAGTGACTATGGTCAGTATGCTTTACTTATTTTGCTGTGATTGCATAAAGCTTAAACCAGTAAAATGTTAAAAGAATGTACATTACGTGTAAATGTTCAGTACATTTACAAAAATCTGAGACTTAAGTGTATTTTGTAAGTGATCAGAGTTGTACAATTGATATTGCACTACTTAATGTTAGATACTGTTGCCACATTTAAAGTTATGTACAGTGTTGACTCATTTCCATTTGAAATTTTGGTCAATAAAGACTCAAAAGATCAATATGTTGTTCATTGTTTTATGTAAGTGCAGTGTGCACACAGCTTACAGTCAAAAATAATAGCTTTAATATTTTGAAATAATATTACAGTAACATTTTCATGTTGAGTTTACTTAAATATACTTAAATATATAAGTACAATTGATATTAACACTAAGTTAAGTGAACTTTATAGTTTAAGTGTATTAAATAATCGTCAAGTTTGGTGAACTAAACAATTTAAGTCAAGTCTACATAACTACCAAGTTAAGTAAACTTAAATATGCAAGTTTTGGGTGACCCCATTACTCAATTAAATTGAGGGAACGAGTTTACTCAAATCAATTGAGTTAAATCAACTTATTAGGGTTTTCAGTGTAGAGTGCATTTTTTTTACAAGCGTCATACAGGTTTACCTGA